TATGTCAGGTATTATGATACGTGTGTCGCCATCTAAACAAATTTATAAACATAAAATGGGATATAATAACGTCAGTCCTTTTTTATCTAAAACTTTCAATTCAAAATATAAAAATTAATTAATGTAAAAATTTATCACAGAGGTGGTTGAAGAGCTAGTGGAAATGCGCCTTCACGATATGAAAATTTCCTCGATTTTCCTGGAAAACCGACAGCATGTGCCATCTAGAAGTAAAATAGTCGAAGCACGTAGAAGGCCAGAGAGAAAGGAAATTTAGTCAAGCTCGTTCTTCAGCGTAAACAGTTTTCAATTATTGGTTCGAGATGGTAGTACAGAATATAGAGAAATTATAATACAAAGTTCGACTTCAACAAATACTTACCATGCTGATAAAGGAAGATGATAATGGTGGCTTTCAATTTAAATTACGTGCATTCTTCGGTAAGTAATAGAAAGCTTTCTTAGCGGTATTTATAAGGGTACATATGTATATTAGTATAGATGTGCAAAATGGTTTTTTTAAAGTATGTAAATACAAAATGCAAATACTTATTTGATTTGTTATTTCAAATTTAAAATACAAAATAGATTTCCCTTTTCCATTTTTAAATGCTAAATGTAAAATACGTATTTTAAATATTCAAATATTTTTTAAGAAAACCTTGCAGGCATTTGCTCATTTTTTAAATACTAGACATTCTCTACACTAATAGAGTGGTGTTTGCACTATATCACCAGCTGCTAAGATTAAGTATGATTCATATTTTGCTGTTTGAAATGGAGATATAGTTTTTCTATCTTTATATTATGGTTTCTTCAGTTCAGCAACAAATAATTCTTTGTGTATGCTCCCTTATTTGCCTTTGTCACCCGTTTTAATTAGAAAAAAGATACTGATGCCAAAATAGTACGTTTACCGTGAAAAATCAGAGCCAAGGTAGGGTTGCAAATAATTTTATTTACGCAAAATCAACATCAATCATTTTATATCAAAATATTTACAACCCCATTTTGTTTCTGATCTTTTACACATTGTAATAAGAGAAAAAAATGGAATCCGTAGTTTCTTTAGCACACACCACAATATCTTATAGTTTTCAGTTTTACTTAGCTGGCATATATCAATTCCATATTGTTTTGCGGACGGCTTTGTTGTAATTCATAGCATTTTGTAGTTCCTTGTTAAAGGTACAATAAATGCTGATATGAATTTGGAATTTCAAAATTCCATTTCCCACGACACTAAACCCGAAAAACCTTTATCGATTCAATATTTTAGATTATCCATTTCCAAGGAGTTTAGAATTTTTTGGTCTCTCTTCAGTTAAAGAATTAGAAGGCATTCATGGAATGTCCCTTTGTTCACTTTTTAAGGGTTTAATAAATTTAATGGTCAATGTGAGTAACTTTCATTCATCAGTTTATATAATTTTTGATCGGTGATACTAGCAAAACTTTTAACGGCAAAAATGTATTTTGCATTTTGCAAATAGAAAATACGATTGGAAAAGTATTTTAAATACAATACAAAATGCTTTTCACAAAAAAGTATTTAAATACAAGATAAAAGTAGGTAGTTTTTATTTTGTATTTTCATTTTAAATGCAAGTATTTCAAATAATTCACATCTTAGTATATCAGGTACAATTAACTAATTATAGGTATTATATTATTAAATAATAATACTAATAAAATAAGGATCTAATAAATGTATAATTAAAATTGTCTCAAACTACATAGGTACCGCATTTTAATAGGAAAAAAGGACAACAGATTCGCCCAATTAATACCTAAAATTGATTGTATACAAATTGCACCTTTTAAGCTCAAAAAACGTAGTTATTTCAATGCCACCTACTTCTTTCATTGATGGTTCCATTTANAAATTGTTCTAGAACGTTATCATAAAGAAAAAAATATTTTCGGAAACGATTGTCTGTTTTTAATGATTATTATAAATGTTATGAGCTGTTATTTTTTTAGATTAAAGCCCTTCTATGTCTCTATAACGTGTCTAAATTTTATTGAAATCGGTTAAGCCGTTTTTGAGAAAAATTTTAAATATTTTCTAATTTTTCGCTTTTTGGTTTTATTCAAAATTCAAAAAAGTTAGAGGTCTAAAATTCTGAGGATTAACGTATTTCATTAGTACCAATATACCCTCAAAAAATAATCCAGATATCCCTCTGAGGGCCGATTCACCACGTTTATGCCCTATGGCCTTTACGTTTTTTCAACCGATATTGAGTAATAATTAATGTTGGAAACATGTATCATATGAAATTACCGACCTATTTATGTATTTTGATGATAATAGACAATTATTATTTTATTTAAATTTATACGTGTTCGAACAATGTTATTATTAATTCCACAGTTTAATTTCGTTGCTTTCGTACGTGTTTCTGTGTGATACGTTATCTGTAAAGACTTTTAGATGTCCTTCTAAAAAAGCATCGATGTGTGTGTTCGATCGTTAAAATAGTATCATTGAAATGAAATAATAATCCTGAACATAAAAGAAATGATATTTGTAATAATACGTTAATATGAATGAATTTTTTATGGAAAAAACGTTAGATAAATAACTATTTGAAATACTTGCATATTTACGATGTTATGGATAATTATATAAGCTGTTATGTTATTCTATAATTTGGTAAATACAATAGATTATTGCAATTGAAATAATGCACTGAAAAATTTTTTTGACCGTTTAAAAATTCATTCACAAGTATTTGACAAATAAAAGGATAATTATGCTTTTACACCGTTTATCCTTAATCTACATAAACTAACATCAAAAACGTTTTGTTTTATAGAAACTAACTGTCATGCTATTGTGCTACAATGCTATACTTACTAAATATTTTATTTTTCTTTGGCTTTTCCTTAATGAAAATTTTTACTAACTAAAAAGCTAAAACCTAAATAGGCAANATGTATTTCGATAACGTGAAATTGTAAGTTATTTTAATTATTACACATTGAAATGCCAGAAATTTATAGAAAATGTTTCTTGATTATTTCAGGTTCTATGATGATGGTTATGCGTTGATGGCCTTTATTGGGATGGTGATCTACCACGCAACATGGTGGAAAAGTTGACTAGTTTCGTATCCTGTGGGACGTCTTTTCGGCAATTTTTTTAAAAGTTTGTAAATGAAAGGGTTTTATTGAATTGGTTTTTATAACTTTATTTGCAAGAAACTCGTTTCTCTTCGAATATATTGTAAGTAGGTACTTATATTTAGTTAATACAGAAGTTTATCTTTCCTAAAATCAATAAATTAAAATTCTTTCGCACCTTGTTAATTGCAGTGTAATGTCAACGTTCGCTTGCTTTAGGATTTTCTGTAAAAATACCCTTATTTTCCCGTATATACATCCTGTTACCGGAAATGTATGAAATCTAGGAATTTTATACAGTTCTCAGGAAATGTAGATAAATGTAATTCTGAGGCTATTTAGGAAATCTATAAAATATTGTTTCAAATATTTGTTAATATACATATATCTTGGGAAATGTATACATTTCCTAGAAATTGTATAAAACTAATGCTTTCTGTGAATAAAATGAATAAAACACGTTACTAAACTGAGAATCAAAGTTATCGGTGAATACAATAAATCGCTTGATCAGATGACGCAAAATCCTCCCCTCGCTCTGCTATCCCCGCGTACCCATTGACATCTTGAACGTAATAGATTTCCGATTACTATTTAGGAAATGTATAGATTTCCTAGGAAATAGGTCTAGTATAATTTATTTCACACATTTCCGGGCGATTTTAGGAATTATATACATTTCCTAAGAATTGTATACAATGACGGATTACACACAAATCTAAAATTTTCTTCCACAGCGAAAGCTAGAAGCAGTATGATTTTCTAATATTTGTAGATTTGATTTTCGATTGTAATAATAACACTATAAAAAATAGCTTCTATTCTTCGCAGTTAATAAAAATCTTGGTATGTATGTAGGAACTTACGGGAAAGTTAGGGATTGTAAATTATTGTAAAACAAGCGGATAATGATACTACAATTAAGAAGATACAAAAGATAATGGATAATTTTTTTTAAGTAAATATACCTTTTTCTTTATTACTTTTGAATTTATGTACTTTTAGCCGTAATAGACGAGAGGAAAATTTATTAATGTAAGGATTTGACCGACTAGGGTTGGCTTAGTGGTCAACATTCATTACCTTTTGTGCTTTTTTGATCGATGAATACGAATATAGAGCCAGTTTTGTCTTTGGTTATGGCAACATTAGCTAAAATAAAAAAAAAGTCCGTGTTCAACGTGCTGCATTTTTTTAAATGTTTAGGTATTTCCTGTTGTTGAATATCCATTTTGGTAGACCAGTGAAAAAATTAAAAAAGAAACTAAAATCTTAAGTCAAAAAAAGAATTCCGCTTGATTGTTCTATTTAAAAAATATGGTGGAAAAAGTAGTTTTTCTGAAATATTGGTAAAGCCATTGGTGGTCGTACATAAAAATAATTTTAGGGGGTTTATGCGCAATAAAATGATCCACAAACACAGATCCATTCAATTATGTTCCAAGATATGAAATCGCATTCACTATTTATTAGGAAAATATTTTTTAAGTATCATAATTCCTTTACGTGGAAATTGCCACCTGAGCCGAAGGAGTAAATGCCCGGTAGAGAAAGCTTTTGTTCCTGAAATTAGGAAAAAATATTGTATTTTTGGTAGGTGTATTATCAAAAGAAAAATGTTTTATAGTTTTCTTACTGAAATAAAAGAAGATATTGTTTAAAAATAGGAGGAAAGGGGAAGAAACATCAATTTTTGAGAAACTCTTGTATTATTTACCTATAATTTAATATTATTACATTTTCTATCATTATTTCATGTACCTAACGTAAATGTCTACATTATTATTAACTATTTTAACAGTTGAGGTTGGCGGAAATACAACGTTAACGTACTAATAATAATAATAATTATATTACTTTCATTCTCTGTTAAAGCTTTAGTTGCTTCACATCGTTGGCGTTGACAATGTCGTGCAGATTGTGTCGTAATAATTATCTATAATTCTTATTAAAAATAAGTTATAAAACCACAAATATGTTGCACGTTCATTTGGATTGAAAATAATTGGTTGGTGGCACAATGTTTGGACGAAATAATGGATGGAAAATTATACAGAAATATTTTGGCATGGAAGGTAGGAATTTGCTGTTTTCTGAAAAATGAGGAAAATATTATTTATTCATGACTAATTAATAATGGCTTAATTAGGGCGTAAGTGAAGAATTTTAGGAATTGATTAAGTAATTCTTGGTTCCGTTTCACTGCTTGTAGCTATATTATAATATGTTTATCAGACGTTTTTTGTATGGTATATGAATAAATAAGAAATTGTGTTAAAATTTGTTTCATCTGATGAAGCTGTTACATGATGGTTGGTTTCTTGTTTCAGAACTTCGTATACTGGATCTTCAACTGATAAATCGATAAATAAAATAGTATTCAGGATTGATAACGTGAAATGGTAAGTTGCTCTTAGGTTGTTATACTTTTTGGAAATACTTATTGATCATTTCAGGTTCGATGATGATAAGCTTTGATGACCTTAATTGTGGTGAAGATGAAAAGTCTGTACCACACAAAAAGGTAGACGATTAGACCGTTTGGACCTTTGTATCCTGCTTGATGTATTTCGATAACGTGAAATTGTAAGTTATTTTAATTATTACACATTGAAATGCCAGAAATTTATAGAAAATGTTTCTTGATTATTTCAGGTTCTATGATGATGGTTATGCGTTGATGGCCTTTATTGGGATGGTGATCTACCACGCAACATGGTGGAAAAGTTGACTAGTTTCGTATCCTGTGGGACGTCTTTTCGGCAATTTTTTTAAAAGTTTGTAAATGAAAGGGTTTTATTGAATTGGTTTTTATAACTTTATTTGCAAGAAACTCGTTTCTCTTCGAATATATTGTGTTATTTTCAAGAATTGAATTTATGAATAGGTATTTTTATTCTTTCTTGGAATGTTTTCATTTTCGCTTGAGGTAAAAAAAAAATACAGGAAATAAGTCAATTTATCAATAGTACTTTCATGTTTAACACATTTTTTTATTTCTTTTTAAAAAATATATTTAATAATTTGTTTCTTATTATCTAATTGTGTAATATTTTTTATGATCAAATTTATTTCATCGTTTATAAAAAATTTAATTAATATTTCAAAGAGAGANAAACTGTAAACAATATTTAATAACATGTACTCACCGTAGTGAATGTCGAAAATTCGTATCATTTCTGCTTTCTTCTATTCCTCAACATTGGAGATGTAAACCACGATATAATTATATATTATCAATATTATCATACATTTATGTTAATTAGTTTAATATTATATATATCATATATTTACTTCAATATTTAGAATTGTATTGTATTTAGGGTTTTGATGGTATAAATACGTTCTTAATGGTTTATGTAACAATAAAAAATGACGAATGGGGTATTTTACTAGGAAGAGAGGATAGTGAGAAAGTAGTAAGGGTGAAAATGAAGATAAGAATGTGAGGCATGAAAGTGAAAGTAGAGTGGGGAAGAAATACGTGTGAGAATGAATGTGCGTCAGGGTGAGAATATAGGGGTGTGGTTGATACTGAAAATGTGTGAAGGAAAAGTCAGGAGTATGAATGAAGGGAGAAATGAGTTAGTGCAGGGGTATGATTGAAGGTGAATTTGAATAAGATTGAAATGAAAATGAAGGTGTGAGGATATTATTGAGAGGGCGAACGAATGAAAGTGAATATGAATATGTGAGGGTGTAAACATAAATGATTGTATGAGAGTGTATGAAGTTGAGAGGGATGCGATTGGAGAGAATAGGTGCGTGTGCAGGAGAGAGGGTGAAGGAACGGATGGGTAAGCATGCATGAGGGTAGAAGATCCTTACTGTTCACCCTCACGCATTCTTACATCAATTGTGCGTATGAATGAGAGTAAATATAAGGGGGCATGAATGTGCGGGGCCGTAGTAAGAATGAGGTGAGATCGAAGAGAGTGGTAGTGAGAATGAAATGAGTAATTGTGCGTGTGTATGCGAAAGGGAGTGAGTAAGGATGAGCGAGGGTAAACTCTTACTTTTGTTCACCTTCGTGCATTCTTACTATCTCCCATTACGAGCGGTGGAATGAATGAGGGTATGTGACTGTGGGGGAAAGAAAGAGGGCGGTTGATGTAATGAGAGAGAGAGAGAGAGAGAGAGAGAACAAGAATGCATGAGGGTAAACGGTTGCTTTCGTTCGCCCTTCTGTATTCTTACTTCAGTTGTGCGTATGAATAGGAGTGAATATAAAGCCATGAATGTGCAAGGGTGTAGTACGAATGGTGGTGAGAATGAAATGAGATAACGGATGTGTGTGTGTATGAGAGTATGTTTGCGGGGAGGTTATAAGGATGAACGAGGATTAAACGCATTCTTCTGTTCACCCTTGTGCATTCTTACTATTTCCCAGTGGGAGCGGGAGAATGAATGAGCGTATGTGACTGTGGATGAGAGAAAGGGGGTGCATGAGGTAATGAGAGTGAGAGAGAGAACAAGAATGCATGAGGGTAAGCGGTCGCTTCCGTTCACTCTTCTGCATTCTTACTGCAGTTGTGTGTATGAATGAGGGTGAATATAAGGAGCATGAGTGTGCAAGGGTGAAGTAAGAATGGTGGTGAGAATGAAATGAGGTAATGAATGGGTCTATGAGAGAATGTGTGCGAGGGAGGTGGTAAGGATGAACGAGGGGTAAACGTATGTTTCTATTCACCCTCGTGCATTCTTGCTATCTCCCAGGACGAGAGGTGGAATGAATGAGGGTGTATGAATGTGTAGGAGAAAGAGGGTGTGCAAGGTAATGGGAGAGAATGAGAATGTATGAGGAGGAAACGGTAACATCCGTCCACCCTCGTGCATTTTCATTGTCTCCCATTACTGTGGGGTGTGAATGAGAGTGTGAAAGGGGATGAATGAGCGTATGAATGTGAAGGGGAAGCGGGGCGGGTGGGCACGAGGGGCGGGTGGGACGAGGGG